AGCTTTGCATAGTCCGGCAATGTCAAATTCTATCATACTTGGTTCCTCCTCTAGCGCAAATAACCTTTCCTCACTATACGAAAAAGAGCTTTGTAAAAACATACACGCAACTATTCTTGTCGTCGTTGGATCCAGCGTTCTTTGGTATCTCGTCTTGGAATCCTTCGGTGGACCAGCCACGGTTTCTTACCGAACTTCTTCTTAACTATCCTCGATCGTTGGTTAGATCAGAGCAGCAAAAATAAGCCGACCGTTCGGGGAGACGTTAATGACAGAAGTGCGATTTTGGGGATCTATGAAATGAAATATCCGATGGAGGATCGTTCCAAGACGTCATTATTAGAATTTCAACCCAACCTATTCCTTGAGATCAGAGCAGCAAAAATAAGCCGACCGTTCGGGGGGACGTTAGTGACAGAAGTGCGATTTTGGGGATCTACGAAATGAAATATCCGATGATCGTTCCAAGACGTCATTATTAGAATTTCAACCCAACCTATTCCTTGACTATGGGAGATATATTTTATGCAAACGCAAAAAAAAACAGACAATATAATCAAACCCACTCAAATTGTTTTTCGCTCATTCAAAAGGTCTTAGTTACAGCGAATTGATGTGAAAGAAACTAATGAATGAGACTTTGGAGGGGAAAAATAAAATGCGAAAAGAATGCATGGAATATGTACATACTTCATCACAATCACCTATAATATCAAAAGAATTGAGCAGGTCACCACAGATGAGGAACATAATCATACAGACCGTTATCAGATTCAATAGTGAACACACTTTGCGAGGCATAATGGTATAAAAAAGGGAAAAAGATGTTGAAAGGCTGAGCTTCCTAATCGTAAAGCAAAGCTAGATGAAAATTCACAGACACCAAAAAAAGGAAATATTAGAGTGACTAGGCTAATTCATCAATTCGACATCATCGGCAAGACGATTGGCTGTAGGTCACTGACTTGACATATCACTCTGTATGAACAACAATTCTGATCCATTTTTGATTGTTAATGCTTTTTATTGAGACCTATACCAGAAGAGACCTGTAAACAGTAGTATAAAGTAAACTTGTCTTGTTGTTGCTGGAGTCCATGCCGCTTATTTTGCTTCAGATGCTTTCATTAGACTTCCTACAGGACTGTGATTTTAGTTAGTCAAGTTCAAATTTCCTTGTGCTACTTCTACTTCTTGGTGAATATTATACACAACCAAGCTCAATGCAATTACATACAACCACACCAAAATTTCCCACTGCAAGCATCAAAGAATTACTTTGCTAAGGCAAGCAAAAACAAGTCAAAGTTGAAAAAACTGCGGTCGTATATTACGCAATAATGAAAGACTGAGCTTTCTTATTATAAGGCAAAAGTTGGCTAAATTAAAAATTCACGGGCAACAAAAAGAGCTAATACAATGACTATGTTGATTCATCGATTCGAGCCACGCAAGGAACGATTGGCTTTAGATCACTGATTTGAGAACATCAACTCAGACTTCAAATTCTGATCCATTTTCGATTGTCAATATATCATAATGAGACCTATACAAGGAAACACATGTAAATAGATGACAGTGGTTAAAAAAAACTTACTTTTTGTCGTTGCTGGAGTCCATGTCACTTATTTTGCTTCAGGAGCCTTCATTAGACTTCCTGCAGAACTTTAGTTAGTCAAGTTTAAATTTCATCTCATACTACTTCTAACAAGCATGCTACAGAATCTTGAAGCCACTAACTTTTGAAGCCAAAGGTATTTGAATGAAAGATATCACGTCAGAGCTTTCTTTTACACTGAGCAGGGAATGGTCAAAATTAACCCAGCCACACCAAACAAGCTATAGATCACCGGTACGTTTTGGAACGCTGATCTCAAATATATGTTTATTGTTATTGATTTTCCTCTTTGAGCGCGACCAAGATGGTAGACCTCTTTATTGATGGCTGACGTTTCGGCGCCCTCGCCCTCTACCAACTCGGTCGAGTTCAAAGAGAAACGATAACAAGTTACCATGCCAAGATTCAAAGAAGGTCGAACCTTTGAAACATATGTTTACTGTCTGCAGAATGACTTTTTCTGAAAGGAGTTACGAGAGTTCAAGTGTGCGATATGTTAAGTGATCTGCAGCACATGTTCCACGAAATACGTTTCAAAAACATTTATTTAAATTTTTGGTGAACGTGCTTCCTCCTTGTGATTGAAATACCATGGAAATGGAATAATTTCTACTGAATTGAAACTCAAATAATTTCTCATTTTTGAACGCCCATAACTCCTTCCAGATAGTCGTTCGCAGGATAAAAAACATATATTTGAACCATATTTGTAGTCCGCTCGCTTCTACAGTTCTCAGCGGGAAGTGACAGCGAGGCCATAAGGCTGACAGAAGTGGGTTCATGAGGAATTGATTGCTCCAAATTAAGATAAGATAGATTAAGATGATATATATATATATATCAGTGGCGTACCGAGGGAGGGGGGCGGGGGGGGGGGGCGCGCGCCCCCCCCCCGAGAACGGGTCGCGAAATTTTTGAAAGTTACTTACATGGGTTATAAAAATGTGCAAGCGACTTGTTTTTACTTGTAAAAAATTAAAATAATTTTTAAAATTTTTTAAAAATTCATTTTAGCCTTATAAAAAAAATTTTTTCGGGGGCGTGGCTCACGCCACGCCCCCTTTTTCCAGATTTTAGGGGTCGGGGGCCCGGAAAAATTTTGAGAAGCACCCCAAAAATTTTTTCGGAGTGCGTGGCTAACGCCACGCACCTTCTTTAGAAAAAAATTTTTGTCGCGCCCCCCCCCCCCCCGAGCCGAAATCCTCGGTACGCCACTGATATATATATATATATATATATATATATATATATATAAATTCATTAAGGTTTTGTTACATCGTCATACACTGCGAAGGCAAGCAATTACTAGCTAATCATATTTAAAGTCAATCTGTTGCCTTTCATTGCGTTTTCATATGTTTTCTCAAAGTCCTTTGTAAGCGGTTTCCTCACATCGTACATCATCCTAGATTAAGTCATGAGTCACGTACCATCGGTATGATTTCGCTTTGGTGTTTTACGCGTCGCATTGGTTTGGTGCGCACGTTTTGCATCGCCCATGCATGACGGGGCGGCGTTCACACCTGGCGCTTTGCCAGTCGTCATCAGCTGTTTCGCAGCCCATCAGATCGTTCTTTGGCTAGTTATTTATTAAATTTTGCTTTTCTTTCCAGGATTTCCGCTGGAAAAGTGATGAACGGCCCTAATCAGACAGATGTATTTGCCGTTTTTGCAATAGGAGAGTGAATTTTCACTGTTGGTCTGTTTTTGGACTTCCTGTAAGAGCTAAACCACTTCAACTTTTTTTGCTGATCAAGTAAAGATACATTTTACCTTCACAAAGCGAGATCAGCTGCTAGTGACGCCTGGCAAAGAAAAAAAGCAAGAGAAACAGTCAGAATCAGAAGTCAGCAAAACATTAGGTAATAGAAAGTTCACTTTTCTAGATGTTATTGCAAAAATGGCATATAATCTGTCTGATTAGGACCGGCCCATCACTTTCCAGGTAGAGTGAACGCCCGTTTTTGGTGGTGAACACCAAAGCGAATTGATATCGATGGTACATGACTCATGACTCAATCTAGGCTGATGTACGATATGAGGAAACCGCTGTACACGATATGAGAAAATCGCTTACAAAGGACTTCGAGAAAGCATATGGAAACGCAATTAAAGGCAACACATTCACTTCAAATATGATTAGTTAGTAATTGTTTGTCTTCGCGGTGTATGACGATGTAACAAAACCTTGATAAACTTATATGCTTGTACTAATCTTAATTCAGAACAATCAAACTCCTCATGAGACCTACTTCTGTCAGCCAAAAGATCACTTTTGGTCGTATTTATCACACTGGTACCTGATTTATAACACTGGTACTTGACAGTTTTTCGTGATCGACTTCCTACAAAATGGGGAGAGTGTTCAAGCACTTAGCACCAATACAAAGGTCAAGGAAATTGGTCAAGTTCATTACTTTTGCCGTTCTCGCATCTATAAAAGCTGTACAAAGTTACTGTTGAGGTTCAGATGCTGAATCCAGCACTTTAAATACACTTTTATGGATTTTCATTGAGCTTTCGATAGACAACAATTTTGTAAGTCAAAGTAAAAGTGACCGAGTTCATTGTGCCATACATTCTCGATGTGAAATGTGATCCTCTACTTATTGTCTTTTTAGCGCAAGAGAGAGATGTATGATAGTTGTAGCGATTGTATATGCAATGAAGATATGAGACAAAGTTTAAGGCTGGATAAGAAAGGAAAATATTCACGGAAATGCTTTGTAACAATGAGATAACACAAAACAAAAGAGAGCGCAGCCTAAGAAGGCAAGTAGAGAAAATTATGCACGAGTAACATTGAAATATATTGGAAACGAAGATGAGGCAACAATGAAACCAAAAGACGCAAGTTTAAAATCTTGCTTGCCTGCACATCTAACTTTTCTGATGCGATAAGCAGGGTCTCGAAAGGGCAACGATACGGCTTCAAGTTGGCAACCACAATACAGCCTTACGAATTAGGGCTGCCTTCTCACAGCATTTAGCGACCAGCTCACAAAAGTCCTGTTTTCGCATCCCCATCGCTTTTCGGTTCGCTGCCAGCCTAACGGAGTCGCTCCTCACCGCCGCCTTCTGGCTGCTTTTGTAGCAATGAATGCGCTCTGTAGCTATTTTCTGACTCAGGGAAGATTATAGCTGCCCGCTGGTAACCCGTCGCTGCCCGCTCACAGCCGTTTTTGCGGTCTCCCATCGTCGCCCGCTCTCTGCCACTTTCGCAGTATCGCCGCCCGCTCAATGAAACTGCTACTTATCGCCCTCACCATAGCCTTTGATTGTCTGAGTAGGAATGGCTGGGTTAAGTTCTGACTATTTTATAGTGAGCTGAATCCTGTGGTATGTTCATTTCTCAAGTCTCACCAGCTCAATAAGACCAAACTCACGTTTCATTTTGTGATACCCGTTGAACAAGTTCAACTCCAGTCTTATCAATGTCCGATTTGCCTTCGAGCACTGCTACTTTTCCGATCCTTAGAGTAGTCTTTCGATCAGTTTTTATAGAAGGTGTTTCAATTTTGTCTTTGGCATCCTCCTTGCGCGAGGGGAGAGCTGAGGTCTTCTTGTCGTTTTCTGATTTCGAATCAGATTTCTTCGTCAAGTTATCGCAGGATGATAAAGCAAAAGTGGTTTTAGCGTTGCTTGCAGGTTGAGTTGGAACTGGTACATTTTCTTTACTCCCCTTTTTTTCAGCCACTTGTACTCTGCCCTCTGACGAAATAGCAACAACTCCTCTTCTGCTAGAACGCGGTTTACGATTCGGGCCTCGAGTTCGGCTCTGAAAAATTCTGGATGTTTTGGCATGGAATGCTAATTTGAACATGAAAACCGGCTACCTTCGTAACCGTTTCCAATGGCTTGAAATCACTGCTAGAAGCATGTTCTCGATGTTTTCTGTCACTTTCGGAGACCATTCTAAATTCAGAAGGCCTGGACGAAGCATTCGTAGAACTGGCCGTGGATCTGCCGTCGTGTGGCTAAGAAACAAATTTATTTCCCACAGTTTGAGTTGCGTTTGAAGCAGATTTTCTTCTTTTTTTACAGACTGCAATTCCCGTGGAAAATGCGGGTACTAAATTATTGCTAGCTATGTAATGGTCCCAACATTTCCGCTATGATTTTACAAAGCGACATATGATCTTGCTGGCACATGCGTCGAAGCTCTTTTTTTAGATCGGAAGCATCACTGAGCTTGTAGATAAATTCGCTTAGCAGAAAGCCGATACTTTGGTACCGAATTTGCTGCCAAGATAAATCAGCGTATAGCGGAGAGAATAAAAACCAGTAAAATCAACTTCAAAATTGCAAATAATGAAAAATCAAATTCCATTAGCATCCATGTGAACTAAGCGTCTGGTTTCTCGTTTTTTTTTCCAAAAATTGCGGTTTAACCCATAGCTGAAAAACAAAGACGAACTTTTTGTGCTACTTATATCTACAGTTTTACTGCAAACTTGTACTATTTACGATTACTGCAAGTTCGTGTTTTTGAAAGAATTGACGTGTGATCAAAACATCATTACATGCAGTAACTGCAAGGCCTCTTCCAAGGACTTGAACTAGCTGCAAAAAAAGTTATACTAGATAGAGTCAAAATGGCAAACCTTGAACCTGTTTAAAAGGATGAAGTATGCGAACACAGAGTCCGAAACAGCGGGTCAGTTTAGGTTGTTCAATCTTCAAAATTTGCTTTAGCTTAATCTTAATATAAACGTTGGGCACTTGTATCTTTTTCAGTGTTCGCCCAATGGCTGCCACTATTTTGTGTGCAAAAGGTGACACAGAACAAATGAGATTTACCTCAGAAAAACGATTGTCAGCTTTTACATCCGGTTTAGTGGTGGTGCACCGTGATAAAGACTTTTCATGAATTGCCATGAACCTCGGGCTCAGACAGACGGATGCCATTGGGTTGAACTCAAGATTTTCTACCGACATAGTCGTTTGTACAATATCAGATTTTCCTAAAACTCCAGTCCTTTTTTCAGTTTCACTCCAATAAATTCTTATCTTTGGACTATGGAAAAATCCTTGGGATAAGCAAGCTCTACAAAGTGGCTTTCGAATATTTGTGCAGAGTTCATTTCTTATTGAGTAAAAGATCGGAATCTAAAAACTTTTCAGTAGCACGAAAACACGAAAAAAAACGGAACTCTGATTAAAAATTTTCGGGAAGCTTTAAACTATTCACGCACATACATAACTCATCTATTCAAATACACACTTGCTATATTTCTCCCATTGTTAGAAATCAAAAAAAAAATGACTTGGCATGTTGTTTTGAAATACGAACACAAATTTTTGGCCATGCAATGTTTTTGAATAGTAAAAAACCAAGAACACTGACGTTAACCTATTATATTTTCGGTCGGTTTCTGTTTCTCACTTTCTAGCGCTAGAGAATATACAGCAGATGTGCATAACAATATTAGATGAAGAATGTATATAATTGAGCAAGTTAAAGCTTCCTGGAAATTTTTTGGGTAGGGTTCCGAATTTTGTCGAGTTTTCAGGATTTCGAAATTTTTTTTTTGGTTTTTGATTTATAACTTGATGTGGAACTGACTCTGCGCAAAAGTTTGGATGCATGCTATTTCGCAGAGCTCACTAATTGAAAACTATCCTAGAGCTTTTACTAGGGGTCAATAAAAATGTGAGTTACTGGACTGAGAAGTAAACGGACGAAATTAATAGGACAACCCAATACCTCATATTTTTCTTACTAAAGCATGCAACAAATTAACTAATGATTAACTGCAAAGCATACTGCTAAAATTCTCAACTTTTGGTGACTGTAAACAGCTCGCCAGAAGATCTAATAGTGTTTTGATTTTTGACCCTCTTAGCACTCTATGAACTGTATTCCAGCGGCGTTTAGGGGATTACCCCTGACCTTGCCGGGGAGAACACTTCAAGTCCAATGTTTGCGCTTGCATTAATTGCTTTGATCTTTGAGTTGACACTGGAATTTTGTGGAAACGCTCTTCAAAAAAAATATAATCAAATATGTGCGCTAGAAGTTTGAAGACATAGTCTATCAAATGTTACAGTCTTAGTGCATTTGCGCTACCGACAACATTCGCGCGTACGCAATTGCACAGTGCACTTTTCATGCATTTTTAGGGGCGAGTTCATGGAAGGAATGCAGCAGTGTATCTCTGATCCCCAACGTTGAAAAAATAACGAGCTTAATAGTCAAAAATTGTTTTTGTCGAAAACTTGATGTGGCATTCATGGCATCGCAATTGTTTTCGCTCAAATATTGTCATCATCGCAAGTGCACCATGTTAACTCAGACTAGAAACTCAGAATTCAAAACCTTTCAAACTTTAATCTCTACTCGGCTTTTTCTGCTTCAATTGTGCAGTCAGAAATGAGGAAAAAAGATTTCAGCTGAAATTTTGTCTCGGTTAGGCTTGAATAACTATACTGTTTTATCTAAATGATATGTGATACCTGAGCTGGTCCTCGAGCAAGTTTCTCTCCAAGCAATTTTGAAAATTGAGAATCTGCCAGCTTTGACGGCATTCTCATTGGTATTTCTGTAGCCAAAATATTAGCTCAATGCGTATGCGAAAACGAAAAAATGCACAGAAAGTTAGAAATTATATTCAGAGAAAATCCACAAAGCTCATGAGACTTTCACGATCGAAAACATGCATTTGATCATAAGCCGCGCCTCGGCACATGAGAAAATAGCGCGTCAAGGTTCTCTACGTTCTTCTGCGAGTTTACACTGATCACCCACACGCGAGTGGGAGTAAACACATACGACACATGTAAAGGGCAGTCTCGAGATCATTTTTGATGTATGGTGTACAAGTACGATGAAGTTGAACCGATTCTTTAAGTTTATTGGAAAGCTGCCAGAATGACTAGCTTACTGGGCACAAATTTCGGCAAAAAATAGTACAGACAGTGAAACGAGAAATATCACCGTACATAATTCATCATAAGTGAAGTAAAACACGCAGACAAGGCACTATGCTCAGTTACAGATCTGATGGAATAGATAGAAGTCTTTCAAATTTTAAATTTCTTCTCTAAATGGACAAAATCTCGCAGAACAGCAACCAAAAACTGGTCTAAACCGCCCCTGCTCTATTTATTTTTTTCCATCATGTTGTTATCTTTTTTTTGTTTCAGAAATCCTAATGTTACTGCCCAGTCTTTTCAACTAGTCTTAAGCGCATTATCGTGCAATGAATAATAAAGAAATTTCCAGTTAGCTTTCGAAAATTTGCTAAGCTTCAAACTTATTTGCCTCGCTCAGATTCAGCTTCTCTTTTTTCGCTCTTATGTTTCAGGAAGGTCAAGATCAGGTAGCAAGCAGTTAATCAAAAATACAATAACATCTCTTTCCATCCCCTCCTACATTCAGCGAATTTATTCGGTAATTTTTTTTGTTGAAAACCCTGTTCATTCTACTCTACAGTACAGACTACAGAAAAACGTCGTGACTGCATTTTTTCCAGAGTTCAAAACTCGTTCATCCCAGAATCTAAGATAGATTCGCAAGCTTCAAATGAAACTAGGGTTGCTTCAGTTAGAAGTACACCCAAAAAATTCAATTGATTATGCGAAATGAGTAGGAAAATTTTGTTAGAAACATGATCTTGTGTAAAACCTTTTCTCACCGCTTATACTCTGTCTTTTTCTTGCAGAAAATAAAAAAGCAATGAATTTTCACAGAATTCCAAACGTTGATAAGAAAGACTCCAAAAGACAATTAAAAAAGCAAGAGGGTTTGAACAGATGCAGGTCCGACATTTTGTTGGCTGCTGCTCTTTGAGACTTGATGTTGATGTGACTTGATGTCGAAAGAGGACGAAAAGAATTTACGGAAAGAACTAATATATTGCTGTTTCATCACAGATGTTGCGAGACTAGCGAACGCGTTAGCTGACAGGAATCCAGCAAAAAGGCGGTGGAAGTAGTCAACCAACAGTATAATATACAAAGATTTTCAATAATAGTCTCTGGTTTCTACTTCTTACGAAATATGGAGAGATCTGAATCGTCGTCATCATCAAAGAGAGACTGTGCCGTGATTATGATCGGCTTGACGCTTTTATTGACCGACGACGCAGCCTTCACATCTGGCAGCTTCGTCGTTTTTGGAAGCTCCGTCGATCTTGAAGGTTCGTCCTGTCTCTTTGTCACTGGAGGGTAGTCTTCATTGTCATCATCTAGAACCTTTGACAATCAAGCATATGCACAAACGGGACTGAGCTTACCGGAGTCCGCATCGAAAAATGATTTGACGGGATTGTGCTGCTTTGTATCAATGTGAGACTGAGAACTTCTCGATGTTCTAGAAAAACAATTTACTTCAAGTCAACTGTTTTTGTCAGAATTTGTTCGAGAACTGTACTCAGAGCTACATTAATTGTAAGATGGAGGAGATGAAACTAACAAGGAAAAGGTTGATCGAAGTGGCCTTTTGAAATGAGGTGTATACTGCCTTGTAGAGCTTGGAACGCTGATTCCAATTCTGCCTTCGCTATCTGCTGCGGGCTTCTGGGCGAGGAGATATGAAGGTTTGTGAGTAAAAATCTGAATTCAAGAGTAGGCTAAAATCAGTCGTAACAGTTTTCATAGGACTCAATCGGTAGTCGGGTCACTCGGTGCAACAAATATTCTTGATTCAAATGTACCAACTCGCTGCTGCCTCATTTGAACCTTGGGGAAAGGTTATGACTGATTTTACCCTATTCTTGCATTCAGATTATTACTCACAAAAACCTTCATAACTCCTCGCCCAAAAAGCCGCAGCAGATAGCGAAGACAGATTTGGGATTAGCTTTCCAAGCTCTACAAGACAGTATACATCTCATTCTAAAAGGCCACTTCGACCAACCTTCCTTCCCTGGTAAGTTGGTGCATGTTGCACTCAAAAGACTGTGGAAATTTCTGATGGCATAATCTTTTGATTGAGCTTTATCAAAGTTTCATCAAGTGTAAGCTTCACTGCCGGACGGAGGTAGCCGACCAAGATGAGCGAAGCGGGCGCGAATGCGGCTCTGACACTCTAGGATGCACGCAGCGCTAAAAGCTGCCTGTAAGCCACTTTCGTGCCAGTACGTCTTATGCAGGAAATACTTTCATCCGGGAACGGATATATTTTTGATACATACACTTTTGATACTTATGCTTGTCATGAGGTAGACTTATAAAATAAACTCAAAATCATAGAACAATATATGAAGGTAATGAAATGATTACGACATGTATATGAATGAATTGATTAAATAATCATGAAAATCATGAAATGAGCACTCAACCCACCCGATATCTTGCGAGATCTTGGAAGTTTGCTTGGTGCTCGCACTTTCCTGCTGTGGCTTTTCATTCACTTTTGATGTTACGTGCACAATGGTCTTGCTGTTTGATATGACTTCAGATACTGTAGGTGTCTCCTCAGTGTTTTCGTCTAGCCACATAGGTGGGCGTGTGATCACGTTTTCAAAGACTGAAGCCTTATCTTTTCCACCATTTGATATATCTAACGGAGTTCCAGCTGCAGTACTTAAAGTCGAAACAGATGCCTGCTCAGTGCCACCCAAAGGGCCAAGCGGTGCTTCCTCTCTGGCTTCGACTGAGGGTGCAGCCTCCCTTTCCGTCACCAAAGTATGGGTATTCTCCACATTATCAGAAAGAGCTCCAGAATGTTGCTCGGCAGTTTTTTCTAGCACATCATCAGTACCATGCGCATTTGTAGTGGCGGTAGCAGCCATCCTGTTTGTTGGCGGTCTGCGATTCGGCCCTCGCGTTCGATTCTAAAACGAAACATTTATAATTTGTGAAAAAAATGAACATTCATACGTTGTAGAAAAAGTGCGAGAAAAAACTCGCCTTTGTTACCGATGCCAGAGGTGTGAATGGACGAGCGCTGGTGGCAGTGCTACCCTCAGTAACATTTTCTTGAATAGAGGAATCTATGGTCAATAGCGGTTCAGTCGAAGTGACAGGGACAGGTTTGGTATCACTAGGCTAAAATCAGAAAGACTTTTGCGCTGGATGGAAAGGTCTAAGTTTCTCACTTAGAACGTAAAAATGAAACTATAGAAGCAGAAAGGAAAAAACTGAAAGAACCATAAAAAAGTCACCTGGACCGGTCCTCGCGCTAATTTTTCTCCCAGCAGTTTCGCAAACTGCGATTCCGGCAACCTAGACGGTGCCTTCTTAGGCGGCTCCGACTTCGATGATTGCGAATTCCTCGGTGGCTCGGGTTCTGGCAAGCTAGACTGTGCCTTTTTAAGGGGTTCTATATCTGGCACGTTAGACTCTGCCTTCTTAGGGGGCTCCGAATCCGGCAAGCTAGACTGTGCCTTTTTGAGAGGTTCTGAATCTGGCACGCTAGACTCTGCCTTCTTAGTGGGCTCCGAATCCGGCAAACTAGATTGTGCCTCCCTAAGGGGCCCCGAATCTGGCACGCTAGACTCTGCCTTCTTCGGCGGCTCCGATTCTGGCAAGCTAGATTGTGCCTCCCTAAGGGGCCCCGAATCTGGCACGCTAGACTCTGCCTTCTTCGGCGGCTCCGATTCTGGCAAGCTAGTTTTCGCCTTCCTGGGCGGCTCCCATTCTGGCAACTTAGGTGCCTTCTTGGGCGGCTCGGCAGCCTGAAAATATAGGTGTGATGTCATGCAGACTATATACGGCTAGCAATGTTAAGTCGTGTGACATTGTTAGACAGCCAAACCATCAGTCCGTCTAGTCAAAACTACTGATAAGACTCACCACCTTCACGTGCTCCTTCTTCGGCTTAATGTCAAACAAATCGTCGTCATCATCTTCATCATCAAAGATGCTTTTATATTTTTCGGCAACGCGCGCTCCCAAAATTCTTTCGGAAGGGAAATTCTAGAAACAAAAATGAGATAATGATGCTTATGCTGTTAGTGGAGTACATATGCTGCTCATTATTACAACGTGCTCAACCCTTTCGGGTAATAGAGCAGTCGGTTGAAGATAAGTCCGCCCAAAAATACGATAAACTACCATGATATTGAATTCTCACCCTGAAAATTTCCTGAGACGGATTACTTGAAACCGGAGCAGGTTTCACTGAAACAGACTCCACTGTCTGCTTTCTTTCAGTGACTGCTTTGATGGACACCGGTTCTTTGCTAGGCTTGGACGGTTCTTTAGATTTAGACATCGGACCGTCTCCACTCATGAATCGTTCTAACTTATCCTCCGTAGATGCTACAAAATATTCCTTAGAGAAAAGAAAACAACGCCCATAGACCAACTTGAAAGAGTCTTATCCTTATCTTCCCGAGAGTATCTGCTCGTGTGTAAGGATTCCGATTTCTCGTGTGCTAAAAACAAGACTCAAAAATCATCTCATTCGCTGGGCAAACAATGTTATCATACCGTTGTCTGAAGGAGAAGTGCTAGCACGGACCTGAAAGCAAATATGATACAATGAGCTAACGCATTTCAAACAAGAGACAACCGTAGTTGGTCGTAAGTGATCGGATGACGATGGAATGGCCAATGAATCACTGCGCTCGCCTGCAAACAATCATTTTCTATGAGGCTTGCTACACCATGAAGATGGTTTCTCGATGATAAAGGTTATGAAATCCGTGATGATCAAGCATCACAGACACTGCTAAATACTTCTTTCTACAACGTCATAAACTCAAGTTTAAGACTTGGTCAGATGAAAGGCAGCCTTTCAGCAAAGCAACGCGTACTGGAATTTTACAGTGTTGTGATGGCAGGCCCTCCCCAATTGAACTAACAGTGAAGAATGGAAAGAAAGGCGCATCCGAAAAGTAACAATCACTCCGAAATCTCCCGGACCCCATCCCTCGTTCCGAACCCGCGTCCTTACATTTTCCAGCAAATGCAGACAAGAAGAGCTTCGAAAAGCCCATTTTAGCCATTTCTATACGCTATAAAGCCAACATATGGCTTCACCTTGGCGAGAAGGACCCGGAATGGTGAAAAAATGGAGGCGAAGTTCTGTCCCGCAGCACTAGTTTGATTTCTCTCAAACCAAAACTTGACCGAATATCAACAATTAATTTAACCAGCGCACCCACTAATACAAAACACACCATCAATCGAAATCAAAATATTCAAAAAAAAATTCAAAAAAATCTTGTAAAAGAGTAGTCACCTGACGTTTCTGGCTTCGCCTTCGATCGCCGCTGGAAGATTTCCTCCAGATCTCTTTGCATATCGCGATGTATACTGCTGAAATAAATCAATGATTCAATCGATCCAAAGCAGATGATCAAGAATTTTACCTTCTGTCAATCTGGGGCTTTTTCACAACAGAGCTACTGCCTTCATCAGCATCGGCTACGGCCCTTACCCGCTTTTCAGGTACTATCGAAGTTGATTCAACCCGAACAATGCTCTCGTGGTCTTTCTTCTCCCGCAAAGGTTCATCAGAATCACTATCCCAAAGCGAATTGTTTTTAAACTCTTGCTCGCGCTCGCTAGGACGCTTCATATTATCCACACGATGTGCATGTTGCCCAACAGTAAGATCCTGCCTTTCTTTGACTGCTTCTTCACTACTTCTCCTTCGGTTTTGTACAGCGTGATTCTCGACTTCTCTCCGAACTGGAGGTGTAACTTCAGGAGGAATTTTTGTTTCAACAGGTTGCGTTCTGGAGCTTTGACTCTCGATCTCCTCCCACAGATCGTCTTGTATCGGCGTAGTCTCGCGCAGAATCTTGGTCTCGCTCGCAAGCGAGCCACTGATGAGATCTGGTAAAGCTGATATAGCATTTATCTAAATGTTGCAGAAATTTATTGCTTAAGCACAGATTCCAAGGACAATTACCTCTTTTCCCGCAATTCCAACTTCATTTATGCCATGCTCAATGGCAGTTCGGATAGCTGCCAATGTCTCAGACTCCCTGCTTCCAGCTTCCTAAAAACAGGTGATTCTAAAAAAGGCAGGAGCGCTTGCCAAAGATTTTCTGGGAACTAGGTATTTTTACTCTCTCAGGCCTCGGGCATAGTTTGCGCGATTTCATCGCCTCGCGAGTCTCCCAACAAGACAACTGTTACGAGTCCATAGTATAGCGATCATTTTGCATTTCGCATGTATTAGTTAGTTACGATCAATCGTATCGGAAAACAATCACAAACAACTTGCAGGAGCATCGGCATGCAATGGATTCATAACTGTTGTCTTGTTGGAGAATCGCGAGATCAATTCGCCTGACCTCTGCCCGAGGCCTGACGGTTAATCAGTTTGTGGCTGACAAAAAACGCAAAAACGCTGACAAGTGCCCAATAACGGCGATTACGGGATTTTCCCCAAAATGTTGGTAAAAGGCTCGAACAGATGCAGGATCGACCACTTCGGCATGAAAATATAAAAAGGTCTAGCAATAAAAGACTCACCTTTACGCTGGGAACCACTTCCTGCCTTTTGTCGTCTCCCACATTCTGGAAACAATAAAGAACTGCTACTAGAGAATGATACCGAATTGTACAACAGTGAGTAGATCAGAAACAAAAAAGAAAACTTCTCAACAGAAGCGTAACCAGCAAGAAAATCATACCTGTTGCAGGAATTTGGTTTGCGATATATTCTCGATCAAAGCGTTTAGCTCATCCACAAGCGAGTTGAGCTTTTTGACTCGTACTTTTGTAGCTATGACCTTCAGCCTGATGAGATTCATAGCATCGAAAGTGCCAAGCTTTTGCTTGTCCATGATCTCGCATAGCTGAAAAATGGGATAAGCATCACGAGTTTCAAGCAAGCGGTGAACGCTACGCGGAAGGCCTCCAAATCTAGCGAGACTGCGCTGTGTGGCTTTAATATATCTTTAGAATAAATAACTCAAATAGCTACGGAAAATGAGAAGAGACGCCGAGCTAATAATATAACTGCTTTAAGAGCTTGCTAAGCCTTCATGTTGTATCGCTTTGCATACATTGTTTTAAAAAAGCTCGCACTTGTTCTTTCCAGATTACACGTTGTAAATAAACCTAGTATAGATATATCACAAGTATAAACTTGTTGAAAACGCGATCATGCTTGATTAGACAATGCACGCAAAAAACTCGAGTCTTCTTAGAATGAATGATAATTTATAACTACTCATTCTATGACTAAGATTTAATTTGTTATTTATAAGTTAATGACTTGAAACCGCTATGTACAAATTGTCTAAACAAGCTCAATCTTGCCCTCTCCTGTTCCCAAATAGCAAACAATCCTAAATTAGTCGATCACAAGTCTAAACTTGTTATCCACACGATCAAGTTTGTTCTGCCAATGTGTGCAAAGCGGTTTCAATCTTTAAGTCACATAATGAAAATATATCAAGTACAAAAGAATATGATAAGCGCACCTGTTGATCTTCCTTGAGAGACCATTTATGAAGATTTCTCTGAAGATCATCGTATGCAGTGGTTCCATTCATAGCAGCAAAATGACCAGCACTGATAATGGCGGAGATAATGTGCTCCACCTTCAGCACTCGCTCCTGTGAACATTTTGTTTCGCCTCAATGTGCGGGCTCTACTAAATAAGTTCGACTATTACACGCACATTTTCACTTCATATTTTCAAAACCCCGAGCACTCCACTAATTAGGAATGGTAGAACAATCACTAAAAGACGCCTTTTACGTGAGTGAACCTGCTTTGACAAGTGAGTGGTTCCCGCACGGAAGAATTGCAAGTGGTATCTGCTGCGGTAATGGCGGGGGTAATATGAGAGCTGCGTGAAGAACTCATTTGCCTAATGAGCAGAAGCTAAGCTTCGGGGGAACTCCTACAGCTTCTTCCTACAATGTCCACCAATCTCCGCGCTTCTGCCTATGGGAATATATGCGTATGTTGAAACGGGAAACCCTGAGAAGCACAGCGTCATGGGAAATTTGAAAGGATTGCGCGAATGGCTTGCAAAACCGCAAACTGAAATATCATTCTATAGAGTTACAAGATAATACGCATACAAATACATATACAATACATATATACAAAGATTTGCACGTTCACTTGAAGTTTGAGGAAAAAAGGAAAATCCATGCGCCCGGAAAATTAAGGAAAAATCAAAAAAAAAATGCAGCAACTGCACTTATAAATACTGATGTGGATTGTATGTGTATGAGTAAGTAAGAAATTTCGTAGGATTTTTCTACATTATTTTATTTTCGATGTCTTTTCCTTGGATAAGGTGAAACCATAACGAGTTACACCTTATACCTGATAGAAAGACAAAGTAAGAACTAATAGATGTAGGTGGGCGTGCTCTGATTTAAAAAAAAAACATTGGAGAAGGAACTTCTAAAATGTTACTTGAAGTAGCCAGTCGAGTTCATCACTACCTAAAATAGTTGATAAGTGTGAATTTTTCTTCATTTTGACAAGAAGCAGCGAAGAAAATCAGAGTTCAAAAAAGGCGTTGCTTACAACAGTTAGAGTTGAATATGGCTTGCGCTTACCACAGATTTTTTTTTACCTTTTAGAATGCCAGATGTGTTTCACTTGAAACTCAGAAAGAAATAAATAGCAGTATATGATGAGAAGTAAAATTGGCAGCACCTTGAATGTTGCGTGGGACCTCAGAAAAAAGAACGAGTTTCCGTTTACATTTTATAAAAAGGTTTTTCTCTGTGAATTCCCGTGAATCTGTCCCTACAAAATCTGTCCCTACAAATCTGTCCCTTTCCTCTTCGACAAGAAAAATGTTTGTTCCCCCTTGAAATTAACGTGATGTGAAAATCGGAGAAAACAAAAAACATTGGTTTTATTGATTAGTAAGTTATGATCAGGGTCAAGCATGGGGTGCGGCACGCCACATCTGGAGGGTCGTATTGAGGAGTCAAAAGGGGAGGGGGTCGTAGTTGGGTAATCTGATAATAGTGATAACATAATATTTGTATCATATCCATAACTAGCGACCCTACGGGTCGCTAGCAAGTGGGTAGGGGCAGATACAATATAGGGGCTTATTTGTGATTATATATTTTTCTAAATAATTTTCCTATGCCTTTCCTGAGAACATTTTTACGAAAAGCATTCTACAAAAATTGTTCGAAGAAGCAATAATCTCCACAAATTTCGCATTTCTCGAAATTCCTGCTGCAACCATGCATGGGGAATATTATTTTTCTTTCGTTTACCACACTCTTTCTGCAAATTTCCCCTCCTCACAGAGACATTCATACACCCCCCCCCCCCCCACTTTTCTACCCTCTCAAAGAGAATTTACTCTTCCATTTCTTCTCAACGATTTCCATAAAAGATCGTTATGGAAGTAGAAGAACACCTGTAGGTTTGGAAGTAGAAGTACATCCATAACAATTATGTGCACTACAAAAAACACTTTTCTCTCGGAATCAACTCCGACAGCAACTAAATCAATCGTCTAAGAACTTTGTCAGAAAATCCTTCAATATTTTCGCCAAAGGAATGTGAAGCTTTACTACTAAAGGAGATCCCTCCCCGAAAAGCACGACTACTGAGCCACCTAAAGACCGTCAATCATAAGAATTGCATGAACGTACCAAAAACCTGTTCCCCGGCCCGATCAAGTCGCCCTACGTGCCGCTTGAAGACCATTCCAAAATTAAAAGAACTGTCCCAAACGTACAAAAATCTGTTCCCCTGCCCGATCAAGTTGCCCTACGTGCCGCTTACAGACCGTTTGAAAATTATAAGGACTGCTCCAAACGTACAAAAATCTGTTCCCCTGCCCGATCAAGTTGCCCTACGTGCCGCTTACAGACCATTTAAAAATTGTTCCCCTGCCCGATCGAGTTGCCCTACGTGCCGCTTACAGACCATTTAAAAATTGTTCCCCTGCCCGATCAAGTTGCCCTACGTGCCGCTTACAGACCGTTTAAAAATTATAAGAACTGTCCCAAACGTACAAAAATCTGTTCCCTTGCCCGATCAAGTTGCCCTACGTGCCGCTTACGACCGTTTGAAAATTATAAGGACTGCTCCAAACGTACAAAAAATCTGTCCCCTTTCCCGATCAAGTTGCCCTACGTGCCGCTTGAAGACCATTCCAAAATTATAAGAACTGTCCCAAACGTACAAAAATCTGTTCCCTTGCCCGATCAAGTTGCCCTACGTGCCGCTTACAGACCATTTTAAAATTGTTCCCCTGCCCGATCGAGTTGCCCTACGTGCCGCTTACAAATCATTTAAAAATTGTTCCCCTGCCCGATAAAGTTGCCCTACGTGCCGCTTAAAGACCATTTAAAAATTGTTCCCATGCCCGATCAAGTTGCCCTACGTGCCGCTTACAGACCATTTAAAAATTATAAGGACTGCTCCAAACGTACAAAAATCTGTTCCCTTGCCCGATCAAGTTGCCCTACGTGCCGCTTACAGACCGTTTGAAAATTATAAGGACTGCTCCAAACGTACAAAAATCTGTTCCCCTGCCCGATCAAGTTGCCCTACGTGCCGCTTACAGACCATTTAAAAATTATAAGGACTGCTCCAAACGTACAAAAATCTGTTCCCTTGCCCGATCAAGTTGCCCTACGTGCCGCTTACAGACCATTTAAAAATTGTTCCCCTGCCCGATCGAGTTGCCCTACGCGCCGCTTACAGACCATTTAAAAATTGTTCCCCTGCCCGATCGAGTTGCCCTACGCGCCGCTTACAGACCATTTAAAAATTGTTCCACTGCCCGATCAAGTTGCCCTACGTGCTTGAAGACCATTCCAAAATTATAAGAACTTTCCCAAACGTACAAAAATCTGTTCCCTTGCCCGATCAAGTTGCCCTACGTGCCGCTTGGAGACCGTTTAAAAATTATAAGAACTGCCCCAAACGTACAAAAATCTGTTCCCCTGCCCGATCAAGTTGCCCTACGTGCCGCTTACAGACCGTTTAAAAATTATAAGAACTGCCCCAAACGTACAAAAATCTGTTTCCCTGCCCGATCGAGTTGCCCTACGTGCCGCTTACAGACCGATAGTAACTATCCAAAAACTTATGCCCTATGTGCCGCTTGAAGACCGTTTAAAAATTATAAGGACTGCCCCAAACGTACAAAAATCTGTTTCCCTGCCCGATGATTGCCCTATGTGCCGCTTACTCACCGATACCTAGTTGAAAGCGCCAGCGGGACCCAATACACAAGCAAAAGCAAGGCTGTTATTAGATAAACGCTTCCAAAAGTATCAGCGAGACTAAGTTACTCACGCGCTCTCTTGTCTACACGTGGAAGCAAGATAATCCTAAAGTGACTGTTCCTAGTTAGAGCATTTACCAAGAGTTGGGAACTTAGATGAATTTAGCTCAAACGCTGTTACGCAAATTGGCGTCATTTCAAAAGCAACTAATAAGAGTACAACATATTTGAAAGACACATTCTGGGATAACAAGCTCGAAGAAGCAGCTACAAATAATACATCCGGACACTGGCGACCCAGTCTCAAAATCATTGCGACTCATGATTGCCTTTCGAAATACGTGTGACACTTTTACGAAAATATGCTTGGTCACTCGTTATGAAATTTGGCAGCGTTCCAAAACGCATGCCACTTGGCAGCAATCCAATTCCAAAGATCAGTGTATTTCATCATAATTTTTACGTCTGCGGCCTCCTCGTTTGCCATAATCCAACTATCAGAGGACTATTGCGTAATCAACGAATTCGTTATATATTACGTAGTGATTAGCATGTCAATTAACCCCTGTAGACAAAGTGTGAGCGAATTCTGAAGATTCAAGATACTAGGCTACCTAAATGAAATGGTCAAATTCCAACAGTTAACTTTGAAGGTGAATTAGCTATCCGTTTTTGCAATCAAGACAAAGCACTACTCCTTCTTTGTCCACCTCAGGAATGAAGACCTGCAAATTGTGGAATTAGAAGCCAACCAAAATCTCGTTTTTCCCATTTTTCGCTTTTGATCGCTGTGCTTTCACCAGATATTACTCAGAGCTAAGAAGACGAATTAGGCTCCAAACAGTCCTATGGAATCTACAAGGTTTAGGCTATCGATTCATATAAATACTGTCCGCTAAAAATGTTTTTTTGATACGGCTGCCGCAGCTTTTAAGGGGGTGTGCCGCACCCCCTTAACTTGCCTTCAAAATCCAGAAAGCGCTCCATTGCTGGTATGAGTATTGAGCACATAGCTTCTTCTTGCTACACTGGAAATTTGGAGCCGAACGCCCCACCCATAAGAAAATTATGGCCCTTTCAATATGCCCATTCAGATCAAAATCAGCCGTCAAATGACGTGTGATTGTAAAGTGCAGTCACAGAAAATCGGGCGTACAGCTTTCAGAAATCTGAAAACTCTCTAGAAAAAGCTGGTGTCCTCCAGAATGTCACACATTGAGGTCCAGAGGTTAAGAGGAGGAAGAAGGGGTCGTTTGAGGGCTTTCATGGGGGGGGGGGGGTTGTTTTCGAAAGACTTGTGCCTGACCTCTTTCTCAACTCTGTAATGCTATCTTAGGTATATAGTTCAGGGGGGGGGGGTCTTATTAAGACAGCAATCAGGGGGGGGGGGGGGTCGTAACCAGCGATCGTGTGCCACACCCCTTG